TGCTTTGCTAAGCTTGTAAGTACGTGCTTTAGACCACTGAGCCATCTCACCAGCCCTCAATCTTTTTTAAATATACTTCACAGTTCAATGTTTAAACCTTTAACCCATCTGAAAATGATTTTTACGTATTTGCAATAAGAACTGCACATTGTGTTCCCTCCTCCGGGAATTGTATTTCCTTCACGACGGTTTCATAAATAAGATCAGCCTTTTGCCACCGTTGAGTACGCGGTCCTGTTACATGCTGAGATCTGCTCGGGAGCCTTTTGCTTTCCCACCTCTATATTTATCTGTCCTTCTGCCAGAATGTTTTGATTCAAGCAGTTTAAAGCTGGATGCGGGAACATTCCTTCCCCCATCCTAGCTCCAAAACTTCCTGGCTCTTGTCTGACATTTATGCTTTTTAAAATTATCTGTTCCATTTAAAAATGGGCACACACTTCGCAATTCCTTTAACCTCTCCTCTCTCCCCAAATCACATTCACTTTATGTGCTAAGATGGGCAAACTGGAGCTGGGGAGATAGCTCAGCGGTTTAAGCGCCTGCCTGTCAAAAGCAAGGACCTGGGTTTGATCCGCAGTTCTGCATGTCGTGCCAGCCCTGGAACCCCAGGCTTGGTGGCGCACGCCTGTAACCCCAGCGCTGGGGAGGCTGAAACAGGAGGATCTCTATGAGTCCAGGCTGTGTAGCGAGACCCTGTACTAAGTAAATAAACAAACAAAAGATTGAGGCGGGTGAATTGATGCTAGTTTTTACAATTTTGTACCTTTCTGGGTGAAATAATTCCCAGATATCTTATGGTTTTTATTAAAACATGAATAAGATATAGGTTATGATTATTATTTGATTCTTTGAGACAGTCTTGCTGTGTAGTTCAGGCTGCCTCAGACTTGTGATCCTCCTGCCTCGGCTTCCTGAGCGCTGGGATTACATACAGGCGTGTGTCACCAAGCCCAGCAAGATACTGACTCTTATTATTTGGATAAAAGTTTTGGGGTTTTGGGCTGGTGAGATGGCTCAGTGGTCTAAAGCACCTACTTACAACAAGCTTAGCAAAGCACAGGGACCGCGGTTCAATCCCCCAGCACCACATGCCAGCCAGCCCCGCCCCCTGGTGGGCTGAGCTGGCCACACATA